GCCAATAAGACAAAGTGTATGGGAAAAGACACCCCAGGGTAGGAATTAAGCACTTGATTGAGGACTGAGGTCCTTTTGTCTTCCACTTAGAGTTTATCCAAGATGAAGGCATGGCTGCACTACCCCTAACTACATCTTGATCTCATAGTTCATCTCCCCAGGGACTTCATTCAGATATGAAAGCACCACATAACTGGAAAGGATGGATAAATGTTCACCCTTGCTTCCTCTAATAAAGCTGGAACTCCATTACGGTCTTAGAACTGAATAGGTCCCTGAGATCACTGTCCTTGAAATCAAACACTTGGTGATCCTTCTCTGGCAGGGGGGTTGGACTAGATGATCTCTAGAGGTTCCTTCCAACCCCTTCCACTCTGTGAAACCTTTTACATCAAGTCTGTACACCAAATATAAAGCTCAAGTTTCATGCTGTCCTAGCCATAGTTAGTTGTATTCATACCTTAGTGGTTGCCAGACCCAAAATGTCTTCTTCCTTCTCACAGAGTCCAAATATATCTACTCCTTTTCTTAGGGTATGATAAAAATGGGAAGTAAATTATAGATGCTCTCTCCACCTTCTGGCAGGAAATATGCTGCTAGACTGCCTTGCTACACTAGCCTCTAGCTGATGTCTGCAGATTAAACAATGGCTGCTGTTGCTTTCCTGGAAAGAAAAGCAACCCCAAAAATCCCAACTCTTTTTTTTTTTTTTTTTAGCTGGTTATTTTGTCCAGCTATAAGAAGCGCGAAGAAACCAAGTGGAAAAATTGAATCTGGCAGTAAGAGTGCAATGCATGAAGGCACACGACTTCTAAACCCAGAGAACAAAAATAGCTGCAAGAAAAAAAATTTGCCTGAAAAAAGCTCTTTAATTATTCTGTTTCTTTCAAAAGCTTTGCCCCCAGCACAGCCAGGCTGCCGTTCGTATAGGGCAGCCGTATGTGTTGCAGCAAAGCTTGTGCACTGCGTTATTAGAGAGAAAGAAGCTTCTTTTTTGGCTGTGTTTTCAAAGAGCTGGTAGCAGATCGATTGTGGCCAGAGCCCTGGGCACAAGGGAGTCTGTACTTCCATAATGAGTCACTAGGATTTCATTTTCAGTCTGGCTGATGAGAGGGTGAAGGAGTTTAGATTTCTGCTTGGATTCTAGAGGCTGCTCCCAGAGAGTTGCTCAAGGAAGAGGTTGGAAGATGTGTTGGAAAAAAACAAAGAAAGGACTACCAAGCACTTTAATTTTTAGGCTGCTGGAGAAAATTCCTGGGCTGTTGTTGCTATGGCAGAGAGGACTGAAATCTTCATGATGGCACTTTCTGCTACTCCTACAGAAAAGCAAAATCATTTAGCTGTGCTGACACCGCAGTACCTGGCAGCCCAGTGAATCTGTGTTGTCATGGAACACCCAGTTTTCTAGAAGCCACCCATTCTCTTCTGTGACATCCGAGTCTTTACATCTTTCTCCAACACTTGCATGTTCACATTTTTGAAGCTTATAACACTGAGGATATTGCAAAGCTTTGATAATACTCTTGTAGGTGTTGTTTGGGCTGAATATGGCCATATTGACATCTGAGTTTTCTCTAGTTAGGAAGCAGATATTTGGTTATATATCTTTCTCTGGGATTAATGAATGGTCAATAGCAATTGTATGAAGCATTCCCGTTGGCTGAGATGTTCAAAGGAAGATTGCAGCAGGACTGGAAAGTAGAGAAATTTCTAAACACTAATAACCAATCAAATGTAATTTGCTAGCCAATGAGGAGACCACTGTTAAATACATCTGCTAAAATAACCTTTTTTAAAACTGTCGAAGGGGCTTCACACGAACGTCTGCTTCTTTAATTTTTCTTTGGGCAAGTCCCTTGCTGCCCAGTGGCATGAGTACCAGTTGTACACAGAAGGATCAGGAAGAATAAAAGAGGGGTGCCAGGTCAGGTGAGCACTGCAGCACAGTGAGGGAATAGAGTATGACATTTCTGTTGCGCTGAAGCAGAGGCTTTCATTCCCTAATAGCATCAATCTGTTGTCTGACCCTTCTGTTGGAGTTTGCAAAGTCCCTTTTGGTTGTGTGGCTTGAGTGAGCAGGCAGGAAAACAGGAAGAGCAGTGGATCTTTCTCTCGTGGGTGCTTGGTGAGTAGGAGCTAAGCCACCATCTATCAGTAGCAATGCCATTTCACGTTACAGGGGTCCCTGAATCAGGCTGGAGCTTGGAAAGACAGTGGTGGTAATGCTGCTGGCTGAAGATGAATCTGTGTTAGTAATTTTCCATAATGTTCTAAGTGTGTTTCCTTTTTTTCTGAGTGCTTGTGCCGGAACAGAGATGTATTTGTAGAAAGCAAAGGCTGGCATTACAGCGTGATCCCAAGATAGAGCTTGTTCTTAAAAAACAAAAGGGCAAAAGAAATAGATGCACTGTACTTGGTGTTTCTGCTGTTATCACAAAAAAATGATACTTGTTTGTAAGCCTGCAGTGTCCAATGACATCCCTTTGCATAGGGGAAACTGAGAGCCCTGCAACTGCAGCAAACTCAGGCCTGGGGACTGCACGACAGTATTCCTTGCTGGGGAGTTGTTTCAATGAATTCCTACGCAAACATGACCTACATACAAAGACTTGCTGCCACCATGGTGCAGATTTAGTCTCTAGCTATCTGCAGTTTTGAGGAACCGCTGGTGAAAAATGCCATTTTGAAGATGAGTAGTTTCTTGCTGTCTTGCCTGTTCTCTGTCCTGGTTTCTTGCCAGCTTCCTTAGAGATACAGGAGAAGGCCAGGGATCAAGTACACTCCTGAGCAGCCATGCTATATTACTGCAACTTCAGAGAGCCCAGGGCTTGCTCCATGCAGAAGCAGAGTGCTTGGCTGCCCTCCTGTTTTCCTTGCTTGGGTTGGCTCTAGATGGGGGGTGTCTCTGAAATCTGTCTGAAGTTCTGCCCTCACCGTTTTTTACATTGGGTGTCATGAAAGGGAAAAGGCTGTCTAGCTATCAAGGGCTTAGGAAGAGAGAAGTGGTGTGTGGGGTGAGGGAAGGTGTAACAAATATGCTTCATTTAAAGTACTCAGCAGGTAGCAAACTTTGTGTAAGTACATATTTCTCCTTGCATGGCAGGAAGTAGAGGAGCCAGTTGTAGGCAGTAGTTGCATTTTCTTGCATCCGGTATTTCTGAATGAAAGCAGATTCCAGGCTGTCTTCTACGGTATGTATTGGTGATTAATGACCTAGTGTGTTTCCTCTGGATTTCATGTTCAGCCTATGTTAAGATGTAGGGAGTATTGTTTTCTGAGATGACATCAAGAGCTCTTGGATGAAGGGAATAGAGACATCATTTCCTCACACAGCACTGGCAGGGTTTTGGTGCTTCTCGCTGCTCACAGAGCTGTAGTACATCACAGCTCATTTAGGAACATCAGACCTACCCCTTTTTCTCCTTCAGACTCACTTGTTAAAAGAAACGAGATGAGAAAAGGGCAGCAGTGGAGTCACAAGTGGCCTGTAAATGGCCAGCATCCTCTTTCTGCCCTCCCTGGCTGGGACCGGCATACCTGTGTAAGGTGTTATGCACATTTCCCATTGAAGAATGCTTAGAACAGATGTTACTGAGTGTGCTACTTTGGTTATGTGTAATCTTTGTAAGGTACATGCAAGTACCATGCTGTCAGCCTGAACCCTTCTTCAGCTTGGCTTTGTGACCTTTTAGGCTTTCTGCTTAAATTTATCCTTCCTTCTCTTAGAAGCATGTCCCTTAGTGAAGACAGTCAATACCTCCATCATTCATTAATTCACTGAAGACACCAGGAGCCTCAGGGGCACAGAGTTACTGCATACTGCGACGGTTCCTTCAGGACGTTTGCTATTCCCTTTGGTTTGTGGGTGCCCTGTCCTTTTGCTGACATAGCAGTATTGATTCATGTGGCTCTAAGTCATGTCTCTCCCCTACTGTTCTTTCAGCTGGCACATGTTCAGTGCTGGAGGTTTTTAAAGCTTGAGTGTAATATTTCAGGAACCAACCTTTTAAATTACAAGCCCACAAATTTAAGAAGGTCCTTGCAGTGAAATTTGGATTGCATATCCGTGGTGCATAAGGGTGGTGTGAGGCTTACCACATTTCCAGGTGTGTGGTTAAAGAAATAACTGTCCAAGTATAGACATCATATATAGCAGTGAGCAGCTCTGCAAAGGAATGTGCTCAGGTTTACAGTGCTTACTGTCAGGCTCTGGCCTCAAAACAGTCGGTTCATACCACATGCCTCAGTCTGGGAATGCCTCTTGCAACTGGCTGATGTCATGTTAATATTTCACTTAGTGAGGGAGGCCTGGTGACCTTTGCAGCTGGATTCTAATAGCCTCTTACTGTCACATCTGTCTGGTGATGTAGAAAGAAAACAGATCCAATAATCATGGAGCAGATTTATCTGTATCCAAGTAAAGCCCTGTGTGTGTGAAAGGGACTTGCGGTGTTCGATGACAAAAGGACCAAGAAGTGTTTCTGTTTGAGCGGTGGTTCCTAAGGTTCGAAAGATGTAATTTGCCATGTTGCTGCGCTTCAGGCATAGTTATAGCCTAGAAAATGGGGTTTGGTGGTACTGAAGCAAGCAGTTTGTGCCTGATGTGAATGGAGGGCTACGGTGTGTTAATTAGCATTACTACCAAATAACAACATTGCCTGCGGAGTCAGAACAAGGCCACTAAATAAGTATGTTGTGTATGACTACCACAGCACACCTGAATTTCTCCATGACACTGACAGAAGACAGCATAATGTCCATATCTTTACCCAGCCCTGTGGAATTAATTCCTGGTGAGGTGTAATCCTTTTCCTGAGTAAGTCCCATGCTTATGTAGCAGCAGAAAACTCCAAAGTGGGAAGTGTGAAACCCTCTTCCCATCCACCACCAGCACATGTACCTTAGTCCCTCTGATCTTTACTCGTCTGGGACTTCCTGGCTTCTTTCCCAATCATCATAGTCAATCAATTAATTGTTTCTTTTTGCTGTTGTCATTGCAGGGCAACCATTGATGAAGTGGAAACAGATGTGGTGGAGATAGAGGCAAAGCTTGACAAGGTAAGATGGGGCAGCTTAGTGCATTGATTTGGAGAGGGGAGTGATGAGTTCCTGCTTAGGAATATGTCCCCACCAGTCTCCTCTAAAAAGTGAGCCCATCTCAGGCTGTCAGGAAACTAAAGTATAATACACTGGGCTTGTCAACAGGACCATGTCTCCCTCTACTGACAGGTACCTGTCAAGGCTCCTTTGTGACTGCCAAAGGAGTTAGGACAAGAGGTCCAGACTTGGACTCCTAATGCTGAATGGTGGCTTTCTTGTTCTGGTCCTGGATCTCATGGGACTGACACTGCTTCTCCTGCTGTGGCAAGTTATTTTGGTGCTGTCTCTTTCCCCACTCCACCATCTTTCTGGTGATCCTAAGCTGTGTGGGGTAGGAGCCATTATGTGCCCACACAGCCCGGGAACCACTGTGTCAGCTCGGGGGTGTAAGGAGATGTTTGCAGGTAAACAAGGGGCCAGATTCAGCCTGATGGTGGTGGCTGCTGCCTAACGTTCAGCCAGGTTATGTACCACAGCTGTAGTCTGACACTGGAAGTATCCTCTCAGGGTCCAGTTTGGCCATTTTGCATTTATGTTAGTGATTCTTTACATCCAGTTGGTAGTTTGGATCTAAGTCAGAAGCTTTATGAGGGAAGGCAGCTTTTCCACCCCCACTCCTCCTGATGTCTGAGACATCAGTCAAGTGGTGTCTAAATGAGAACAGAGAGAAATGAAAAAGAGGAGCGAGAAGAGCTGTTGGCTTTTTATCTGCGAGATTTCCCAAAGCTGGCAAGGGATAAAACTCCTGCATCTGATGCGAGAAATGGGCTTTGTTGAAGTCACAAGCCCTAGGCAAAGATGTGTCCTATAAAACCTATTTACTACTCAAGCTGCTTGAAATGTATAGCTGCACAAGCTAACTAGTCTCACTGGTGAAAGCTGCAAAGGGATTTAGGTTATCTGTTTTCCTCTATGGAAGAGGCTAAGGCTCTAAAGACAAAGCATAGGGCAAAACTTGCTCTGACTCTAGTACTACTGCTGTCAGTGGCCCCTGTAGTCAGATGACTTGGTGTGCCAGACACAGTCCTGGAGCGAGGAAGGTGAGCTGGAAGTACAACGGCTGTTCAGGGCTCTCAGCTTTTTATTGTTCAGTGCTTTGTAGCAAATCGATTTGAGCTCCTTCGTGTGAGGATTGGATTAAAACAACAATCTTGTGCAATTTTGGTCTTCCCCTGACAGCAGTTACGGGGCGATGCTCAGGTAGTGCAAAGTGCAGACATTTCAGTCTGTTCGCATGCATCGTTTCCTCTGTCCGCTGCAGAGATGACCAGTCATGCGAAGTGCTGGCTCAGTCACTGTCAGCAGCTGGCTTATCAGGCCTTGGTCCAGGGCAAGTGAGACTGGAGCTTGTGTATGAAGAGCCACTGAAGTTCAGAGTAGTTTCTCTGAGGGTAACTTTGGACATGATTCTGTCACTTCCATTCCTAGTAAATCAGACCTGGATAGCCCAGCTCCTCTCCTGTGTACCAGATGGGTGGATGCCCAGGGCAGCTTTTACAGGGCTCGGTTTAAATGTTGTTTGTGGTATCCAAATAGCTGGCATGACTAGTTCTTAAAGAGCAGCAAGCTGGCAAGGACTGACTCTATTTCTCTGCCTTTTACAGTGCCCCATAGCACTTAGTTTATAATTGATTAGCCTTTTAACACCTGTTTAAAACGGAGGTAAAGGCAGTGTATATGATTTGTCCAAGAGAACACCAGACATTTGGGCTTGATTGCTGTTTCAAAGAGATTTCCTTCATTCTGTCTTGTGCTCCATCTGCAAAGCCATCATTGCTCCCCTTGGGAGTGTGCTTGTGCTGAATGGCCCTCAGCTGCTAAGAACACAGCCTTGGCCACAAGTGTTTGTGCAGAGGTATGCTAGAAACCGCCACGTTGCAGAATAGGCTGGATTTCCTTTCCAGAGGATCTGTCCAAACTCCTAGTATATGTCTGGGCTCCAGATGTGACAGGAACTGCATCTGTTTGCTTTTCTTCTCTGGGCTTGGATGGGAGAATACAAGTCTGCTAGCATCCAATGCTGTTCTGTCAAATTGTGTGGACAGGAGAGGATGTGAGCGTGAAAGAGTAAAGACTGTATATACTGTGTATACACAGACACACTGCATGTGACTATGAAGGTATTTATACAGTCAGATATACTCAGATAAGATTTTTAAAAAAAAAAAGCTCCTGGATTTTGAGAATGGGAAACTTCAGGTCCACACATTGTTCATTATCAACAGCTAAAGTTTTTCACTTAGTTAAAAAAGCCTAGAACAGTGATGATTTAAAAAAAAAAAAAAAAAAGGCCAAACCAAAACAAAAAACCCCGAACAATTAAAAAATTATGCTCAGTGTCCAGCTGCTACTGTTGCAAATCTCCTCGACCTTTGGTTTATGGATTCATCTTACGTTGTTTAGTGTAACCTTTTACAAGGAGCTTTGGCTGAAAGAAGATAGGCTAATGGCCAGGAATCCTGGCTAAGCTAATGCTCCAATCTTTACAGCCTGTTCCAGGCATGCTAAGGAGGTTTGCTGTGGCTAGAAAGTCTGGGAATGTTCCCTACAACTGTTAAATTATCAGAAGTTAATAAAGGCTCTCTGGAGATCTATGCCTGTGCTGCAGCAAACTAATTCCTAAGTGAGGAAGCCATCCCATTTTGCTGCAAGTTGGTTACTCCACTGTAACAAGACTGGTGATGAGAATTGGAGCAAGCATAGTTTGCTTGAAGTCGTTAATGTTTCTCTGAAAAAGCTCCTTCCATGTCCATCAGAAAGACTGTTCTAAGTCACAGACAGTCAAGAGAGAGATGCTGTAATCCCTCACAGTGCACCAGCAAGGTTTCCTGGGGCTGCAGAATTGTGGGAATTGATTCATTTTATCTACAGTCTCGATGGTTAAACCTGCATGTGAGGGGGCATAGATTTTTCACTGGCTGCACACAGCAGACCTGGCTTAAGCAGTCCTGGTCAGTTGTTTTAAGGAAGACACGGTACAAAAACATCAGGCTGCTGAATGCTGGCTCCCCTTCGTTACAAGGTAAGAGCAAGACACGTCTCCACATATATACAGAACAGTCTGCTGGGCTCAGATAATCCCAAAGAACAGCATAGTCCCAGCAGGGAGATTCTAGACAGTTTATCACTTCCACCCAGCACCAAAGAGTCTTATCTCTCCTCAGTCAGTGTGTGTGATCAGGTTCCTTTTATTGCAGTCCTGATGCCTCAGGATAGAATGAACAGTAGAAACCCACTGGAAAAAATGGGCTGCCCTGATTCATCTGTCTGGAGGGGATAGCCTGGAACTGTTATTCTTAAGTGACAAGTGAAATGACACAGCATGACATACCCTGAGAAGGGTGATTTGCATCCCTGTTTCTGCAATGTAGCCGCAGTGGTTAACGTGAATGGCATCCTGTTCTGAAGGTCTTGGGCTGTGGTGTTGGTGCAGGTTAAAACCAGCCTGGTTGCAATTCAGTTTGATGTGATCAGCTGCCTATCTGCTCACACCTCTCTCCTTGTGCAGCTGGTAAAGCTATGCAGTGGGATGATTGAAGCAGGCAAAGCCTATATCACCACGAACAAGCACTTTGTCAGCGGAGTTCGGGACTTGTCGCAGCAGTGCAAGAAGGATGAAATGATTTCGGTAAGTCGTCCTATGGGATGGAGCATGGCACACAGTGAGGGCTGGGGAGTGTTAAGCTTCATGATGCTGTGAATGGACCATATAGCCAAGACCCATAGAGTGTTTAAGTAGCCATTTAGTATGAGATTTTATTTTTGGAGCAATGTATAGACCATCTGATAATGCAATGCTGAAAGGTCAGAGTGAGATTCAGCGTTTGCAGGGAGACCTGGACTTTAAGAAACCACAGTGCTGGCAAGGTGGTTGGAATCTAGGTCAGTAAGCATCAGTTATTTAGGAAATGCGGGTAACCAGCCTGCACAAGTGACAACTGACATGTTGATTTCAGCACTAAACTGGAAAGGACAGGAAGCCTATGGCCTCATTGTCAGACCTTTCTGAAACACCTTCATGCCAAATGGCACAGTGGCTCTTCAGTGTCTTCCTGAGAGTCTCTCTCAGCTGGTGAACCCCTGGGAATGAAGGGCAGCTCCTTCTATTCACTGCCAGTTCTCTACCTTTTTTTGCAGGAGTGCCTCGACAAATTTGGAGACAGTCTGCAGGAAATGATTAACTATCACATGGTAAGATGCTGCTTTCTCTTGTCTTTTTGTGAGCTGATGGCAACCTCTTTCTCAAGGCACTGATTAATGGTCTCCTGTGTTTGGCTCACTTGACACTGCACAAAGGTGGGGTCCCTGAAGGGACTGTCTTTCATGTTCCAGTTCCTGCACACTGCATAGTCAAGAGAGCAGCAACGGGGTCGAAGTTATTGTTGCCTCTTGCAACAATATTGAATTGGATGAACTATGAGTCTGTGTACTCACAATGATCAGTCCTGATGCATCACATATGCTAGGAAATGGGATTTCCACGGGCTTGCAGAGGAGGTACCACTTAGCGAAAGGGTGTGTACTGTTGCATGGGTGCCTGTTGATTCATTTCAGATCAGAGATGTACAACAAATATGTACAAGGGTGAGGTTAGAGACCCCTTCGTCTAAGGAAGAGGAAAGCTCACAAAGGGCCCACCTTCCAGATGCCTTATTCTTCTTTTTTGGATAGCACAGGATTTTGTAGCGAGGACAGGCAGGGCCCTCAGGAGCTCTGAAATCAGGACTCAGGCTGTTAACAGCTTGCATATGTAGCCTTGTTGCTGCAGATTTGGAATATGCTTTGAAGCTTGGCATTCACATTTGTGGCATTAGGCCACTGGCAAAGCAGTGAATGGATCAGGCTGAAAGAACTGTTCAGTTGATGCTGGGAGCAGACTCAGTCTAAGGACAGTGTGTCAGACTCCTGTGTTTAAGGATAACACAGGACATATTAATACTACACAGAAATGGAAGGAGGAAATGTACAGATGGCTATTCTCCTGAGCTGACTGCATTTCACTAACAGAGCCCAAGGAGTTAGAATCTGCCCTTTCTTTATCCCAAACATCAACCATGGCATCTGTAAACCTTGCAGAAGAGGAAGGTGCTTCATGCTTGGTGGCTCCATGCCAGACCCACAGTTTTAAGTCTGTAACTCAGTAGGAGCTTAAAACACAAGTGCTTTAAAATGAAGAAAGCTTGAGGGTGTGAGCATTGGACTGACCCACTTTTATACCATGGTGCCCCTGTCAAAGTACATTAGGCACGGCACTTGCTTTTGGGATGCAAGTTAACAATGTGCAGCTGGAGAAGAAGCTGCGTCAAGCCCATTTAATTATTTCATGAAGCAGGTGGGAAGGCTGTTTCCTAGTAAAAAATAAAGGGGAAAAGAGGTACTGCGCATGCAGCTCTCCTAGGAATGTTAGTATTTGGGAACAGTCAAGCAGCTGTACAGCAATAGTGGTGGTGGGGAGAAAGTGAATAAACCAGTGTGAGCATCAGAGAAAAGTACGTTGGTGTCAAAGCAGAGAAAGTCAACCCCTGATTTTCTGATGCTGCTCGAATTCCCTCTGAAAACAGAAGGCCTTTCTGCCAAGGAGCATATGAACCCCTGAGAAGCTATTCCTTCATTCCAGGGATCGTATCACAGCTGCAGTGATGGAGGCTGGGCTGAGGAGTGCGTGCAGCCCAGCCATGAGGAAGCAGCCCCGGCCAAAAACTTCTAGATGAAGAATATTGTCTGCAAGCTCCTCTACACCAGCTGTGCAGCTTCCCCTGGATTCCTGGTCCCTGCCAAAAATGGCACTTCTGGGATTTCTCTTGCCTCAGTCATCTAATAAGCAGAAGGACCCTTCCCAGAGCTGTCAAATCGACAGCTGATGTGGTATAACCCTTCCCATGCACCCCACCCG